ACTGTGCTTTTACCCTGATCTCACTGTGCTTTACTGCGCTGTACTGTGCTTCTACCCTGATCTCACTGTGCTTTACTGCGCCGTACTGTGCTTTTACCCTGATCTCACTGTGCTTTACTGCACTGTTCTGTGCTTTTACCCCGATCTCACTGGGTTTTACTGCACTGTTCTGTGTTTTAACCCTGATCTTAGTGGGCTTTACTGCGCTGTACTGTGCTTTTACCCTGATATCACTGGGCTGTACTGCACTTTACTGTGTTTTTACTCTGCATTGTACTGTGCTTTTACCATGATCTCACTGTGCTTACTGTACAGTGCTTTCAGCGTACCTAACAGGCACAGGGAAGACATCTAAATGTTGAACTGTCAGTATGTTAAGGGGACTATGTGTTGTGTGAGATAAGGTCACAGCTCTGTAGGTGGTCAGATGCCCCTGGACTGGGCCTGGCATCACGGACAGCCCTGTGGACTGGGCCTGGCATCACGGACAGCCCCCTGGACTGGGCCTGGCATCACGGACAGTCCCCTGGACTGGGCCTGGCATCACAGACAGCCCTGTGGACTGGGCCTGGCGTCAGGGACAGTCCCTCTGGACTGGGCCTGGCATCACGGACAGCCCTGTGGACTGGGCCTGGCATCACTGACAGTAGCTCTGGACTGGGCCTGGCGTCAGGGACAGTCCCTCTTGACTGGGCCTGGCATCACGGACAGCCCCCTGGACTGGGCCTGGCATCACTGACAGCCCTGTGGACTGGGCCTGGCGTCAGGGACAGTCCCCCGGATTGGGCATGGCATCACGTCGGTGCCCAGACCTGTAAGCTTCTTGTGAGCAGGGAGAACAGACAGGGGCATTGTTTGAGGGTAAATACCCAGACAGCCCTAGGGCATCAGAGCACTGCCTTGCCCTCTGACCTTTCATCTGAGAGACGAGACGGCTTTGCAGGGGGGCAGGCGGTGCACTCCGGCCTGGGGGAGGAATGCTTCCCTCTCCCCCTCGCTCCCTCACGCAGTCCCTCCAGCCCCACGAGCTGAGAGCTCACGCCCAGCACTGTCCCCGGACCAGCGGATCCAGTTCCCAGGACAGACCCAGGTGACAGAGCCCGGAGTTAGCACTCATGGGGGCTCAGAAACGGCTCTTCTTGTTTTCCCACCTTGTGTCTCGGAGGAAGTTGTTCGAATCACTGCTGTCAGCAGCTCCCACTCGCCACCTCACACTTGAGTCAGCACTCTCTGTGACCCCTGTCGAAGGGAGGGGCGTCTCCCAGGATCCCCCACACACTCATTTGAGTCAGCACTCTCTGTGACCCCTGGCGAAGGGCGGGGTGTCTCCCAGGACCCCCCCACACACTCATTTGAGTCAGCACTCTCGGTGACCCCTGGCGAAGGGCGGGGGATCTCCCAGGATCCTGCTGCTTGCCTGGGCTCAAACGAGAGACCCACCTGGGGGTGAGAGACAGAGAGAGAGGAGCAGAAGGAGAGTCCTCACTCAGCTCCAGTGAGAGCCAAGAAAACAGACTGAAACAGACCACAACTCAGGTCTGTCTGTGTCCAGTTTCTATGGCCAGACTGTGGTCACTGAGCCTGTACTTCATCAGAATCTGTTTCTCTTTGCTGTCTCTTAACCCAGTCAGATACTGGCAGATGCTCAAATAGTGTGTATTGTTGGTTTAGGCACCTGTAGCATTCCACTTTGATTATGTGCGTCCCAGTGAGTGAGACAGAGTTGTCTGGCTTGTGTGGTGACTCCCTCACCCCTCTCTCGAATTCAGATTCTAAGTTTATTGGCATTACAGTGCTGTCAGGACAATAACTCAGCAGAATATTTCCTGTGAGACATTGCCTGGCCCTCAGCTCTGGTGCTGACACCGTACACACACACACACACACACACACACACACACACACACACACACAGGGGGCACAGTGTCCGACACTAGCCTGTGTGTGCCGACAGCCCAGCGCAGGGATGCCCGGGGCTCCTGAACAGCTCCCAGTGACGCTGCCTGTACCCCCAGTGTAAGGACACTGAGAAATTAGATGTAATGTAATGTTTCTTTATTAGCCCTATACAATTTCTTGCATTAGGAATTAGTCTTTTCGCATACCCCAGCTTTTTTTTTTTCCTCCATGGAGACACAGACATACAGACAGGGAGAGAATCTTGGGGATAGAGCACAGGGTCAGCCATTACGGCGCCCCTGGAGCAGTTAGGGTTAAGGGCCTTGCTCGGGGGCCCAGCGGAGTAGGATTCCTCTGCCGGCCGCGGGATTTGAACCAGCAACCTTCCAGTCACAGGCGCAGATCCTTAGCCACAGAGCCACCGCTCCGCCCCATATCACTGAGATATTTGCTCTCAGTGCGCTGACAGCCTCTGTCGGAGCTGAACACAGGTTGAGTTTAAAGGATTCTAGGGTGGATCCTGCATCGACAGACGCCGTGCAAAATGACATGGAGATTAAAGGAGAAATGGCAATTTTGGGGTTCATGCCTGACCTGGTCCTCTGCAAAAAAGCATGCCTTCTGCTCCTCTCAGGCACCAAACGTTAATAAGAATTCAAGTGGAGCTGTGAGACACTAAATTGTGATCGAACCCATGGCTGGTACCTGTGATCCTTCCAGACAGAAGCCCCCTCAGTCTACAGAGAGGGCGCAGCCCACTGAGGGGTACAGTGAGAGACTCAGTCAGCCCAACACACACACATTGTTTTAAAAAACTTTTTTATTACAAAAAAAGCATCAAACCCATTTTGCCCAGGAAAAGGTCAGCCTTTACACAGGCTTGGAAATACATCACAAGCACAAACTGCTGTACAGGACTAGAATAAGGCACTGGGGTTAGAGGTCACTCACAAGCCCTGCCCCCCACCCTCAGAAATGCCATGTGTCTTCACAGTACATAGCCATTGTGGAATTGTAACTTTTATTCTGATTCCCACTTCCCCACTGCAAAGAGGAGTTGGAAAAAGTAGTAAAAACGTCACAAAGAAACCATTGACAAATCAGGTACACAATCATACACGCTTCAGCTGTCCTGGCAAAGCTTTCGTTTCACTTTGACTGAAGAGGAAATGAAGAAACTGGCGGTTTTACAGCGAGAGAGTGGCTGAAATGAGTCCGAGTCACCTCTGCGTCTTCGGTCGCCGTTGCGTTACCGCAGAGCTCCAGGGAACGACCGACGGCTGGTTTCCGCCGGACTAACCGGTGAGCCGTCCTGCCGGCGCGGAGAGATGACGTCGGCGAGCGTCTAAACAGACCGGCGCTCTCTCTCCCTCTGGACGGGTCGCTGGAAGAAAACGCGGTGCGGGCCGAGGCGGTGGAGCCCCGAGGGGGGCTGAGTCCTCGTTCCCCCGCTCCGGACGTGCACTCGCCCAATTCTGAGCACGCTCCCCAACATGTCATTGCCCGAACACATAGAGCCGCGCCAGATGAAAATGAGCACTCCCCACCCTCCCTTTGCCTGCTGGTGAGTCTGTCGGTGCCTCTCTCCCTACACCTCGGAGCCCTCCCGGGGGTACAGCAAGCCCCCGCCCCCCCCCAGGCTGGGGTAGAAGTGGCTGTTGAGCTGGCTGAGCACGGAGCTGCTGTAGCCCATGGAGGAGGGCGAGGAGGTAAGGGGGGCAGGTGGGGGCAGGGGGGCGCTCCAGTCTGGGAGAGGGGGCAGGCAGCTGGGGGAGTAGGGGCTGAAGCTCCTGGGGGCCTGGTTGGACCTGGGGGGCCCCTCCGCCCCCGCCAGCCCCAGGGGCAGGGCTCGGCTCACGGGGTCTCCGCCTGCGCCTGCTCCGCCGCCGGCCCCCGCCGTCACGGTGGACATGCCCGACAGGAAGCTGCTGAGGCAGGGCGAGGGGCCCGAGGAGGAAGGGGAGGGGCCTCTCTCGGGGGTCGCCCCCGGGTCGGCGATGTCGATGAGGCCGCTGGGCGCCTTGGGGCTGCTCTCCCCCGACTCCGAGCCCAGAGAGCCCCCGGAGCTCTCGCTCTGCGCCAGGTCGGACTTCCTCTTCCTCTTGCGGCGGAAGTTGCCGTTGTCGAACATCTTCTCGCAGTTGGGGTCCAGAGTCCAGTAGTTGCCCTTGCCTGCGGAGAGAGGAGAGAGCGGGCGGCGGGTGAGCGCTCAGTGACCACAGCCAGGAGAGCGCAGCGTTAGTACAGCTGGGAGAACCTGCAGTCCAGGGAAAAGAGTGCCTCTTCCTCCTCTTCCTACCCCTGTCTCTCAAGAGACCAGTTCAAAAGTGCACTTAACACAGTGAGAGCAAAGTGCACTTAACACAGTGAAAGCAAAGTGCACAAAGCAGTGAGAGCAAAGTGCACTTAACACAGTGTGAGCAAAGTGCACAAAGCAGTGAGAGCAAAGTGCAATTAACACAGTGAGAGCAAAGTGCACAAAGCAGTGAGGGCAAAGTGCACTTAACTCGGTGAAAGCAAAGTGCACTTAACACAGTGAGAGCAAAGTGCAGTTAGTGCAGTGAGAGTACAGTATGGCTCAGTGAGAGTACAGCACAATAAGAGCACAGATCAGTAAGATCACAGCACAGTGAGAGTGGGTGGTGGGGTACTGTACAGCATAGTACAGTACGTTACATCACAGTGAGAGCGCAGCACAGCGAGAGTATAGCACAGCAAGAGTATAGCACAGTGAAAGTACAGCACAGTGAGAGCGCAGCACAGC